TCCCCTTTCCCCCCCAGCTCCTCCTTGTTGGTGAGAACAAGGTCCAGCACAGCACCTCTCCTCATTGCCTCCTCTATCCCTTCAGAAGGAAGTTATCATCAACGCATTCCAGGAACCTCCTGATTGCTTGGGCCCTGCTGTGTTGTCTCTCCAACAGATATCGGTGTGGTTGAAGTCCCCCATGAGGATCAGGGCTTGTGAAAAAAAAATATAAAATAAGATATGCACTTTTGTGTTGGGTTCTGCAAAGTCCTGTGCTGACATCAAGTGGTGACATATTTTTCATGCCGAAGGGAGCCAGACTTGCTGTGCCAGGTATGCAGGGGGTGATATTCGGTGTCACGGGAAGGTAAAGGCAAGTAGAGAGAGGCCACGGGGCGACTACAGCAGTAACCTCGCTGGCCGGCGCTCCCCTGGGGAGCCAGGGGAGGATGGGAAAGCAACGCGAGGGTGAGGTGAGCCTCTGCAATGGCTCTGGGGCAGACGAGGTGCTGGCTGAGCCCCCCAGCACCCACCAGATGTGACCACTGGCAACAGCCCCCCGTGATTCCCCAGCCACGGAACCCCCGGCCGGGACAGGTACGACGGGGTTTGGTGGCCCCAGGGGACTGAGGAGAGCACGGAGAGAGCTCGTTCTCTAAAGAAAGCGCGACACACCGTTAACCAAAGAGGGTGGGAGGCCGTATTAACTAATTCTGCAGAAATATCAAGGAGGGGAAAATAAATACGTAAGGTTACGAACCAGCTGTGAATAAAATCGAGCTTGGTATTAGAAGGGTTTTAGCTCCGAGTGAACTTCTGGAACAACATCCCTGTGGAGACTGTGCAGGAAAACCCTCCCAGAATGCGGTTTTATTGCAGAGGTTAATTATTTGCTGAAGGCATTAGGGTCCGTGATGTGAGCTGTAACATCAGCCCCGGGCTGGCAGGGACTGGCCCTGGTGAGGCGTGCGGTCCGCGTCACTCCCCTGCCTCGGTGCTCCCTGAAGATGGTTTGAAAAGCTGCACCTGATGGGAAGTGAAGTTTTATTTGGGCATTTGCCCATGAATGCCCAGATCAGTTCTACTTTGTTAAAAGAACTGCATACTCAAACAATAGCTGGGAAGTTATGACATGAAAACACAGGATGGTCGCTGTGTTTCTAACTCAGATAAAAAAAAACACGTTTCCTCTCACCAGTTGTTGCTCTGACTGTAGAAATTGTTTCCTGCTCTTCCAGGAGCCTGCCTGTGCTGGGAGCCGAAAAACCTCCCCGCAGCACCGTACCCATTGCACGCCGATGGATTTACCCTTCCTCTGGTGCGTGGCACAGCAGCCCCGGGGGTGCCGCGGCCCTCTCCGTACTTACACCTCCTCTCACAGACCTTGTGCGTGACCGGGATCCTGAAGTCAAGAAGAGTTTCCCATGCTCTCCTTCATGGCTGGGCAGTACAAACCCAACAGTCAAAAGGAAAAATGCCGTATCTGTTCCGATACATCCCTGTGGGGGAAATCCCACGCTTGGTTGCTCCGAGATGTGATGGGTTTTGACCAGTGCAGCGAAGCCTTGGCCAATATTTCGTAGGGACAGCGTATGAAAGAGTCATGCCATAAATCGATCCCTGTGGTCATCATCGAGCTGGTGCTTTGATACGGTACAAGGAAACGTTCATACTGTTCATCTCTCCCCTTTTTGTGGTAAGGTAAGCGAAGGCTGGGGGGTGGGAGGAATACCCAAACCTTGGAGCAGCTGCCGGCAGTGCCCGAAGAGCAGGGACACCGCCGCACCACTGAGCGGGGGTTTGTTAAGTTGGGTTCTTTTTTTCATGTGTTGACTTTGAGGCCAGGCTTTGCCCTTAGAGGTTTTGTTTTCTCATGAGCAGCTGGACTTTAAACTTCAACATCTCTCCTGCAGCCATTTCCCGCAAGAGCTGCCGGAACGCAGGCCGGCGGCCGGCGGGCTGCGAGGGCGGCAATGGCGAGGAGCCCTTGGACAACGTGGTTTCTTCTCTCTGCCCTCTTCCTTCAGACGGAGCAGGCAGGTATGGCCTTTGCCTTGGTGCGGCTTTAGTTCTCATTTGTGCTACTGCTCCTCTAAAAACACCGGTGCTTTGGTACCTTGGGTCGTGTTTACTTTGTAGCACAGGGTGACATCACTGAAAACTGTCTGTTCCTTATTTTCCTTACCTTTCCCCTGTTTATTTCATATAGCTAAGTAAAAACTGCGGTGGGTTACTGAGGCAATGTAGTTTTGAAGCACCATCATTTACACCAGGGTAGCATTTTGTCTTTTCTTATTCTTAAATAAGAAAAATCCAAATAAGAAAAATTTATCATTCTTAAAGAGTGCCCCAGGTATTAAAGAGAATTTTCTTTTATATTTCTAGTTGCTGCTGAAATAAAAATAAAAGAGACCTATGAAAGAGACTGAGATGCATACTTATTACAGCTTGAAGGAACTTAGGTTTCTGTGTTAATCCTCCATGGTTTGTCAAAAATAAGGAGGAGCTGGGCAAGGAAGAAAAAGTTGGTGACCGGTTACGAAGGCCAGAAGGGCCGCGGCGGCGGCAGCAGTTGTGCTGGGTGCGTCGGAGCGGCTGCAGGGCAGAGATGTGCGCTGGGGTGTCAGACACCACTTTAAAATGCAAAACACAGCCAGGAAACTTTTTCTTTTTTCTTTTTGAATATCACATGCAAGCTTGTTGCTTATCGGATATCATTCAAAAGCGTAACTAAGCATTTGTATGCCGTTTCAGAATAATTTTGTTATTGCTGTCACTTTTTTCAGTTCTAATATTATGGGTTACTTCAACCTTTGTGCCGAGCAGCGCTGGGCCCCCGAACACTGTACAAAATACAAAAACCCCAGTCCCTGCCCCAATGGGTTTCCTTCCCGAGCACAGGAGAACTGGCAAAGACGTGCCGACACACGCCGCCGCACGCTGCGGGATGGCAAAGGCACCGGGCTCCAGCGCGGCACCGGCCGGCAGCGTTTGTTGCTGGCATCATTGCAAAGAGGAGTTTTAAGATCTGATAACTCTCACGTCTTTGATCTCTCCTCCTCTTTACTCTAATCAGAAAGATGATGGTACCTTCCGCGTAACAGCCGGTATAGGATAGAGCCCTCTTTGAGCGTTGCTGAGGTGTAGCTTTTATTTATGCTCCTTAAGAGAGATTTGATTGAGAACTCAGCCGTGTCATGGTTTTGCTTCTCAGCAAAAAAAATCCCTGTGAACTAAGACTGAAGGGCTTCAGTTCGGCTCCATCATCATAAATTAATACAAATCATTTTCACTCCTACTGATGCGTCTGAAAGCCCCACGCAGTCGTACAGAACAGCCCCTGCCCTTCTGCCAGTGCTTTTCCCCTTTCCCTGGCCAGGCCACAGCAACGCCGCTCGCTCGGTCTGCTGCAGGAAAAAAAACGGTCGGGAAGGGCTTCAAATTCTCCCTGCTGGGGAGCAAGTCAGGCACTCCCCAAAAGTAAAAGGTCACGACTCCTCAGCTGAGTTTGGGCTAGGAAAGCAGGGCTCTTGCCGTATGTAAGTTTAATGTGGCTGAGACCCTGAATCAACCAAAAGGATTTCTCTTTAAAAGAAGGAGGTAAAAGTATATAAGGAAGTGAATCTAAGTACTTACGTTAGCTTTTTGTCACGTAACGTTCCAGTGTTCATATCAGCTGATGATGCGAACAACGTTATCAAGAGACAGAGGCGTGCCAGTTCCCTGCTTTTGGAGGAGGTCCTCCAAGGCAGCTTGGAAAGGGAGTGCCTTGAAGAGAGATGCACGCATGAAGAAGCAAGAGAAGTATTTGAAAACGATGAAATGCTCGTAAGTATTTTGTTTTCCGGCACGCATGATAAAAAATTACTGCCTTGGTCCTTTAATTATGAAATACAACTCCACAGCCTGCTTCATTCGCTTGGGTTTCTCCCCATGTGAAATCTTTGCACTTTCCACCCAGCCGGTAGCAAGCAGGTGTCCTCAGTGGTCAAAGCGGGAAGGCAGAGGTCAGCTCTGACACTTTTAAAGTCCCCTCCGGAACATGATGTGTCCTGCGCCTTACGTTGCGCAAGTATATGGCTGCTGTCCCATCCTGACCGCACACAGAAATACAGCTTCAGCATCCCGCAGGGACCAGGGCGGGCAAAGGGGTGTTGGGATGGAGGGAAGCAACGCGCCAGCAAGAAGTGGGACCTATAGAAAGAGGTTCACCGGGTCAGCGGCTGCAAACCCCTGGTGCACGAGGCCCTCCTGACACGTACAGCCAGATGCCGGGCTCTTCAGCGGGAATCCGGCCGGAGAGGATGTTTGCAGGGAAAACGGAGGAAACAGCCATCGGGTGGTCCCAGTGCTTTGGGGGAGGTTGACGGGGCAGATACAGGGAGTGGGGAGAGGTGTCCCCGTGGGGAAAGCAGCGGCAGAGCTGGCCGCAGTGCCACGGGGAACGTGGGGCAGGCGGTGCTGGTGCCCAGCGTTGGGGACCTGCGGCTCCGCTCTGGGCTGACCCCCAAGCGGGAGGGGACGGGATGGGACAGGGTGGGATGGGGTCACTTCCCAGGCCGCTGCACACCCAAGAGACAATGGCCAGCCAGTTTTTCCAGGAAGCTGTATTGCTAAAGGATTCAGCTGTTCCTCTCTTGCCTGCCAAGTGTTTTTTTTCCTTTATAGCTTCTTAAGAAACAATAAAATAAGCAGGATGCAAACCTCCTCCAACCCCATCCAAATTTTGCTAGCAGGGCAGAATTTGTAGTGCTGCAACTGTGTAAACATTAAACCGTAGTATATGTTCTCTCACATAATGTTTTTGTTTTATCAAAATATTTATGGCAGATGATATCATTTGAGAATTAAAATCTAATTTCTTTTTTTTTTTTTCTTTTTCCCCCCAGAAAATGTTTTGGGATGCCTACTATGGTAAGCTGGCCTCTTGATTTCTCTCCTTCGTAGCACTGTCACACTATGAACATTATGATTCAGTCCAATGCTGGCTTTCTGAGACTTTCTAGCAGTTTATTCCACAAGGAACACCCAGTCACTATTTGTCATGTCTGCGGTAAAGCAGGAGGAAAAGTCTTGATATGAAAGGATCAGAAAAATAATAAATTGGAAAAAATATTTAAGACTGCAAAGCAAATGAAAGTTGAAGGCGAGTAGGTGTTTTCATAGTAAATAGACTATTTTTTTCCCTGAACTTAAGGCTGTTCTGAAACAACTTGGGACATGAGAAAGTCTGCTTTGCTGACAAAACAGAGCAGCACAGGTTTCCCAGCAAAACCTCCCAAATTCAAACCTAGCACTTAAACCTGAGTGAGATGAATAGGTGTTAACAGCTGCTGGGCTGTCTGCAAACTCTGGGCGCTGGCATCAGCCCTGGGCAGCTGCCAAGGCAAGAGTCTGTCGGAGCCGAGGGGCTGAGGTCAGGAGGTGCCTCCGGAGCAAGGAGCCCGGGGCACCGGCTTATGGTGCCTGTGCCCGATGCCCTCCTCCTTTCCTGCATGCCTTGCTCAAGTTTTTCTCTTGTTTTTAACTTAGCTTCTATTAATTTCTAATCTCAGGTTTAGAAAAAGGAGGTGGCAAAACCAGCAGTTAGTATTAATTTTCTGCAGAAGCCACTAAAACATGGAGTTCAGGGAACCGTTACATAGAAGAATCCCATCAGGGATATAAATGTTACGAAGTGATGCTAAATATCTGGCCTCTCATTACTTCTGTGAGGGTGGCATTAACTTCTCCTAATTTCAGCCATCAGATGTTTGTACTAAGCGTGTCACGCAGGCTTGCTCTCTAGCCTTTCATCGACAGTATAAACTTAGCTATTGATAACCTCTCTTTAAACATAATTTTCCAAACAGTTTTGTGCATGCCTTACAGTAGTCTGTGTTTTCCTAGCTCACTTGCTGACAGTATCATCCGAGACATTTCTGGTCTACGATGCTCACCGATGCCCCACTAGGTCCCTTATCCTATAATACAATTAGATTTAATTGGTTTGGGCTATTTGATCTTGAAAAATGCATGCTGGTTGCTACTTACCACCTTCCTACTTTGCTGGGTGCTTACGAACAATTTAATCATTCCAGTAGCAGAAATTGTGCTGATTTCTCTGTAATTCCTTGAATTTTCTCTTTCCTCTTTTAAAAGCTAGGCGCCAGGTTTATTTTTTTCCCCAGTCTTACAGCACCTCACCTGACCCCAGACATTTTCTGAGGCTTCCTTACCTATATTTGAGCATGCATTTCAGAGGCCTGAAACCACCTCGCCTGCTGCAGGCTGTAGGTGCAGCCCTTCCCTAGCTCCAGCAACCCACCCCTGCTGCTGCGGGGCCTCGCTCCTCAACTCTGCCGGCTCAGCCGTGCTGATGAGACCCCCCCTAACCCACCCAAAAACCCTCCCAGGAGACCTAAATTGTGCCAGGGTAGGCTGCTGGCATCTGACGGCAGGTGGGCTGAAGGTGGTAACTGCTGTAAGGCAGTATTTTAGTCCAGGTAACACTCAACGATACTTGTTCCCACAGCCTCAGCAGATGGTGGGTGCTGGTTTGCTCCCAGTACCGGACAGTGATCACCTTTCCATCCCTCATACCGATTACAGCAGCTCGCTGACTGAAGTTAACCTCTCTGATGAAGTTTAAAATTTTAGAAAGGTTGGAGAGCATGTTCCAGGTGAGGCACTTCTGGCTTGCTCGCTGATCGCTCATGTCTACAATCAGCAGTCGTTATTCGGAAAAAGTTTCCAAACTCTTTTGGAGTCTTTCCAGCGGGCAGCGTGAAGGGAAACTGGCAGCTCTGCTTGGTGCTTCACCTGCGGTGAGGACATCCTCTGCTTTCAATGTTGGGTTCATCAGAAAGCCTAAGCTTGCTCGTGTCTGAGCTGCTGTATAATGATTGTATAGATGTGTAACAGCCAGATTTCCTCCTATTTAGAAGTTGCTTGTTGTATAATTTTGATGCCAGATTTTTTTATCCAGTGCATAGCAACCTAACATGGGGGACCTAAACCACCAGTCTCATTACATTTACAACAAGGGCATGAACTGTAATTTGGTGCTTTTCCCTGAAGCAGAGCATCCGTCCTCCAGAGGCAGGCTCTGCCTCGGGGCACCTCCCAGCCTCTCTGCCAGGGGCTGCGGGAGCACATCTGGAAGCAGAGACTCAGGCTAAAATTACCCCTGAGGAGCTAAAATTAGCCCTGAGAAGCAGTTAGGTGAGACAGACCATTTCCTTCCAAACTGCTTTTCGCAACGCTTCTCTAAGTGGCTCACGTGCCGGGAAGGGGGCTGCGTAGCTCGGGTCAGCGGTGGTGGTGACTGGTCCCTCTCCTGCGGCATTTCTTCAGGCGGCAGGAGATGCTCATCGAGCCCCTGCCAGCACAACGGCATGTGTGAGGACAGCATCCGTGGCTACACCTGCACCTGCGCCGAGGGCTACGAGGGAGAGAACTGTGCTTTCGGTAAGGCATCGCCCCCTCTTCTGACAAGCTCCATCTTCTCCTGTCATAGGGGGTCCCTGGGAAACCATACACACCTCTCCTGTTACGGCCAGATATCATATTTTAGGTTAAAACACACAGTTCTTGGCAGAGGAGGGGTGCTGTGTGCCGCCTGTCTACCAGAACGTTATGGCATCCCGAGGTTACGCAGGCTGCCTCTTCCCCCTCCTCCTTTCTTCCCTGGGGATGCAGCAAAAGGACTGAAGCAAGTCCCTGGCCTCCGAGGCCACTCACACCCACTGGACAGTCCCTCAGAACAGACGGACTCCAGAAAACAAACTGTTTCAGTGGAACTGTAAAAGGTGTAAAGCAAAACAGATGCTTTCCGACATGTAAAACACCCTGGGCCGGATCCTACATTTTTACATCTGCCAGGTTCTACTTTCCAGCCCTTACACCAGTATTTCTGCTGGCTTGCCGGTCCCCTGGGGTGGGAGATGCCCTGGCTGCTGCAAGGCAGGGAGATTTTCTGTGTAAGGGGTGTGACAGTGACCAGCTTCTGGGGGAACACAGAAGGTGGCACAGCTTGGACCAGTGCTGAGAACAGGATCTGCTCAGCATGAGCCTCGGAGAGCTACGTTATGCGAGGGGTTTCGCTCCTTCTCTACTTGTGAGCTAGATCCAGCACCAAACGGCTGTTCCTCCTGTTGCTTTGTCCTGAAGCTGAAGTGTTTGCTCAGCTACGGGAAGTTGACCAAGCATGTTTCAAATGCAATTAATACTCCTTTTTTTCTTATCTTTGGCAGCTGTTAAGTTTCTTAGCACAAGCATGAGAAATAAGAGCTATGCATTTGTGTTTGCTGAAAAACAGAAAGCTTTAGCCACCTTCTTCCTCAAGCAATATCTGCCTTCTTAACACGTGCAACAGTTCCCCCCGCTGCAGATACTTACTGTTTTGTTTAACAGAGCAGAAAGAAAACCCAGGGCATCCTTTCAGGGGTTCACATGGAAGTTTGACCCTTGGGTAACACTCACCAAGACTCAGAGGTGCAGACGGTCTGGTGCAGGGAGGTGCCGGGTGAGCACAGTTTGCAAGGAGTCTGTGGACGCTGCAGAAACCCAGCTGTCTCCAATTTCTGCTTAGCAAGGGGAAAAACAATGTGGTGGAAAAATAATACCAAGCCAGAGTCCCTACCCACCTCCACACAAAGCAAGTAAAGATGAAATGCTTCGTAAAGAGGACTCAAGCTATGCATGAATACTCCAGCTGAAGTGTTCCTAATGCTTTTCCTCTGCTTGTTCCGTTTAGCTAAAAATGAATGTCACCACCAAGCAAAGGAAGGATGTCACCACTTCTGCTACCCGGGAAGTAATTCCTACCGTTGCTCCTGTGCTGATGGCTATGAGCTCGGGAAGGATAAAAAACAGTGCATTGCGTTAGGTGGGTGGGAGCACAGACATCCTGGGGACACAGGCTCAGGGCTGGGGTGGACAGGCCATCAGCTGATACCCAGATGCCATCAGCCTGCTTCGAGACTCAGGCGATGAGAATATTACTGACCTTCCAAACCGGGAAGAAAAAGGAGGAATCTAGGGACCACCGCCCAAGATGCCAGAGCAGTAGCAAAAGTGACATTTGATCTAAACACTTAAACATGGGTCGGCACAAAGGACTTGCATCATCCTACGTATCACTTACTGGGCCAGGTTTTCCACTCCTACGCTCAGTAAAGAGTAACTCCGCTGAAGACCTGTCTGCTCGGGCATGAGGTTCAATTGATTCCAGTCAGGCACCTGATGGTCTGATAAATGAAAGGCATTTGCTACCATATTAATTAGTTTGAAGCAGTAGCCCTCTTCATTTTTTTAATCTCATACTAGGTATCCCTATTCAATCTCACCCCCTTATAACCCAGGTCTACTAAAACCCCAGTAGGATACTTAGCCCCTTGTCTATATTAGCAAGTAGGGCAGTTGAAGAGGAGTTGAGCTGTAGAGCCATGCTTTTGGTGATGAAGGCTTGATGTCCACATTCAGTGCACATTTCACATGGGCTTTACTTCAGACTAGCTCTGGTTTGATCCTGTGAACTAAGGACCCATTACCTATGAAAGTACATTATGTGTGCTCCTGGAGGGTATCTTCTGGTGTAGCTTCACCTGAACACAATCCAGTTTGTGTGGGCCAAGACCACGCCGCAAGGCGACCAGAAAGTGTGATAAATGCAAGGAACTGGGGGATCCACTTGAAAAGCATGCGTGCTGTTTGAACCAGAACAAAGGCACGCGCATCCCTAGAGTAACAGCTTTAACAAGGAAAACCCAGGATTTACCTTGACCAGATTGGGCCACAGCTATCAGGTATGTGGCACAATTCGGATACAGGACACAAAAATGGGGAAGCAAGTCGTGCTGATGGTTGCCTGGAAAGGAAGCCTCATTTCCTTAGTTACAGATACAGTGAAATCTGGTCCCCACAAGCCTAATGCAACGATGCAGAATGTTCAGCACCATCGCTAAGCTATTAGACTACAGATGCCAAGCAAATAATTCCAGTTTTCACCAGCTGAGAAATTGTCCTTCTCCTTTTCCTTGGCGTAAAAACAAACCCCGAAGGTCAAGGTGGAATCTATAATAAAGTATTTGTAGGTATTAGTTGTCTTGAAATTATACAGCATGAGGTTTTGAATTTTTTTTTTTTTTTTTTTTTAATTCGTTTGCCAGATCAATGTGCATGTGGCAGACTACAAGACACTGATAATCTGATACGTGAAACCAGGAAGAAACGTGATGAGCGATTTCCTTGGCAGGTATTTCTAGCAATTCATGAAACCCATCATTCAACCTCACCTGGACAGTGCTATCGTCTTTTTGCATTTTCTTAGGTCCTGCTGCTAAACTCAGAAGGGAAGGGCTTCTGTGGAGGAGTGCTGCTAAAAAGTAACTTCGTATTGACTACAGCGGAGTGTGCCCTTCTGTACAGCCATTTTGAAGTCAGGGTTGGTGCTGGTAAGTGATCAAACCTGTTCTCTTGTTGCAGCAAGTTTTAGCTCTGACAAACTAATTTTAAAAAAGCTTACTAAAATTTTTGCTGCATAAAAACGTTGTTAAAGGAAACAAATCTATGTCATCCCATTTAAGCATCTCAGTTAAGTACTCTGAGCTAGAACTACAGCTGCCTCATACCCCTCTACAAGCCAAGCACAGATGACTGCCTCTCAAACCCAGTTCAGAACTCAGCACCTAGGGATAAGCTAAACCAGGTGGATTTAGACGTGGCTTTTGTTTCATGCCAAAATTCACTTCTCTTGTTGGGTATTTGTCCTTCCCGCTGAAATTATGCGTGCTTCTACACAGCATTAAAAAGCTGTCAATATAGCTATCATTCCTAGTTTACCTTGACTGCAGCAGTTTCAAGAAAGAATGACTTTAGTTTCTCTACTGCACGTATTTCTCAGCATGACTAGGCAGTTGTCAGTCTGCATCCAGTTCTCGGGTCTCCGATAAATTATTCCTAAGCGCAGTTAAATGTCATTGCTTCACAGGGCCTAATGGAACAAGTGGAACTGAGAAGATAATGCAAGTTAGTGAGAAACACATACACATCCGCTACGATGAAGACACCGGTGAGAACAACATTGCATTACTACAACTCCATGAGCACGTCAAGTGCAACAACCACCAGCTTCCTGTATGCACCCCTGAAAGAGACTTTGCAGAACACGTTTTAATTCCAAAATTGGCTGGTACAGTCAGTGGCTGGACAATGGAGGGTAATGAACTTCAAGGTGACGAGTTGCAGGTTTTGTACCTTCCCGCTGAGGACTGCAAACAAATACTCAACGTAAGCCTCACCAACAGGCAGTTTTGTGGACACCTCCAGGAGGCCGTAGACAAACACCTGGCTGGAGGAAGCTTTTTCGCTACCGAGTACAAGGGCACTTGGTTTCTGACTGGTATCCTGGGATCCTGGCCACTAGAAGACACTGACCGGGAAACATTTCTGTTCACTAACACCGCGAGGTATACGATATGGTTTAAACAAAAAATGAAGTAAGACACAAACACAACCAACCACCCAGCACCAAACCCCTACCAAACCCCTAACCAATCACTGCAAGGAAACGTCTGGATGCAGCCAGCACACCCATTTGACTCTATATCATGATTTGCAGCAATGGAAGTTGCAACAATGATACGTATATAACTCCAATTCAGAGAGAAAAGCCCATTTGTCTTTCCTTCTTCTGCCAACACACAGTACTGTGAAAGCCACGATGCAGTAAACCTAGTTATTTTGCTAAAAAGTGACTGAACTTTACGTTTTCTAGAAATGTTTGTTCATCCTAAAACTCAAAAAGCATTAGTATTTTTCTGGGATTTTAAACGTTGCTAGAAGGAAATGAGTCTTTTCAATTCTTGTTGCGGTTTGATTCAGCAAATTCATATTCCTATTTCAACATCCATACAAGTAAAACTTACAAAGACCAGGAAAACTCCAAGACTTTAAACGCCTATGTTGATGTAGGACTTGACACTCTCATCACACTAAAAAATGCTTGCTCTCGTACATGGTACCTGCGTTTTCCCTTACAATCATGTCCAAGTCAGTTAGTGGGTAAAATAAATCCCAACTCTCAAAGAGGGGAAAAAAATGCTTTATTTCCTTTAAAAATAATTTAAAAAACCCCAAACTACCATCCCATCACTATGGACAAAGTTATGTTGTACCACCCCTAAACAAACAAAACTGCCAAGGTAGTAACACTTAAAATAATGGATCCAGTGACAGTGTTTTCCCCAGAAGCAGACTCGAGTATGGGTAAGTTACTTAGATAGGCTCTTGTTCATCATAACAAAACCGAAACAAAATATTACCAGAATTAAAAAAACAGCAAAGGCATCTGCAGGCACCTACAGACAAAAATCCCACACTTACCTGAACCCGTAAGTACCGCTGACACAGTAAAGCTTTTGGTGTCAAGCACTTCTCTAGTTCTCAGAGAAAGCTTGAAAAGAGTATTTAATACCAGCAGGATTATTGAAGAGACTTTAAAAAAAAAAATGGAAATCATGAAAGAAAATACCAATCCATTCTTCAGAATGGATTAACACAAGTAACAAAGGATGATACTTCTCCTCTCTGAAAGGTACATGCAGAAATAGTAACACAAAGTACTTTATAAAAGCTTTTAAGTAGTTTGGAAGGAATTTGGAATGAATTTGGAATGCTTTGCTTTATTTCCTCATGAAATACTTTGAATGATTCAGAAAGCCTGGCAGAAACTATCATTGAAAAGTTAGTATTTCATTCCAACGCACTTTGTAACACTGGCAGCCTTGGTCATTCTGGGAAAGGAGCCACAAACAGTTCCTGGTATTCCTGTCCTGGACATGAACCAGGTCATTTACAGCGTTCTCAGGGTGATCAGGAGCAGGTCCACTGGGCAAGCCGAGTAGCAGAAAAGTACTTGCACGGGTAAGACGCAATACTCAACACACTGTTGACAGCGGAGGAAATGGGTTCTGCTTACTGACCACAAGCTTTTGATGCTGATGAGATATATAGCCTTTAATGTGACCCTGGCAGAGGGAGAAAAAGACACTGTTAGTACTGGAAGCTGGTAACAACTATGCCTATAACCTCAGCTGTCTTCAGGTTACATCAAGCAAAGCTATGTGTGTATACTCAATCACCACTGCGCTACTGTACTGAATATCTATAAGGATCCAATTTATGTAACTGGGTCGACTCACAGGGTAAGCAGAAAGTTGGAAGCATAACCATGTTTGCGTACGAATGGTGCTGTCAGTCCGAGAGCCAGGGTCCCCTACCAGTCTGCTTACATTTCCTTGAAGAGACAGAGCTCTATAGAAGTGTTTCTAAATCTACTCTTGCTCACTCTAAAACGAGGCTTTTAATTAATCACTATTACATACCTAATAAACTAAATGGCACAGTACTTCCTTTTCAGATATAGTGTTGTATCACCAAAAGAAAACTTCCAGTGACAGATTCCCACCCTCTGTTACTCCTAGACCACATCAAATAATCTGATTCAGAAACAGAGAAGTGGTTAATTTTCTTGCTGACAGTGCAATGCTGCTCCAAAACCTCCGATTTATTAGAAATCTCTAGATTTGAAGCCTTTATCTGTTCATGAATAGTTGAGATCCACTTAGAGAAAAAGATAAAATGTGAAGGAAACCCAAAGAAATCTGGTTTTAATTTTTTCTAATGTTAGAATGTCAAGAGTCTCCTACTTCAAATGCAGAAGAACAAATCCCTTTTGGTCCCAGTTACAGTTTCTGTATTTTTAGATCAGTATTTAGGCATCTATAGAAATGTCAGTACTGGATTTGTAATGTAAAATTCAACTTCAATTTTAAGTGATTCCTGCAAAAGAAGGTAGGAACTAGAGGAAGCCCTTAGGGCAAATGAAAACATTTCACTTTGGGCACAACTGAATCAACTTTTTTACACAAGAAAACCCGGGATTATTGATACATTGGTTTGTAATAAACTTTCATTCTCTACCTAATATTTTTTACTGTCTGAAGTCTGGAAGGACCAGACAACAAGCGGTCAGCACATACCATATATATAAGGTTAGCTAAAATGCACTGGACTTCATCAATATCAACATCATCCACTTGCATGAATTTCAGGGCAAACAGAAAGGCATCTAGAGACAGCTGATGGGTTTTGAGTAGCAAGTATCTGAAAGAAACAACAGGGAAAAAAAAAAAATCTGTTATTGAGAAACAATCACTTAAAAATGCTGGTTCTTACAAAAATGGCCTTTCTATGATAAATTCACTCTAGCAGGAATTTAGCTGTCAGAGAGAACCAGGGAGCATATACATTTCTACCTCAGCCCTAGGTGAAACCATATTAAATCTGCTTTTGCAAAAATGTAGGTTTGTTACGCTTACACTTTCTTAAAGAGATTTCTGTATGTGATGATTTTCAGCTTCTCAAGGATAAGAAAGATTCCACATCGAATAAAGAAGGTCTCATGCTTTGTCAGAGCGTCATTCAGTAGGAGAAGATTGCCTTCACTACAAAGATGAAGAAATGAGAACATGAGAAGGTCTCACCCAAACAAGAAAAGAAATTGTTTGACTTGGTAGGAATATCCCTCCCCTGCCTTCCTCAATCATCCCAAATAAATACCTTTCAGTTAATACTTTTGAACAAACTAACACACAACACAATTAAACAATCATCATACCTCACAGCCTTTGTTACTTCAGCAAACTGCATAAGGTCATACTTTTTTAAAAGCTGAACTGTTGGCATATGGCCCTGAAAAATAAACGGTTTCCAAGTTTTCCAGGGTAAAGTCAAATGCATTTTAAATGTAATCTAGTATGCTATATAACAAGTGTTAGAGAAAAAGACAAATGTTTAACCACTTTTTTTTTTTGCTATAAATACTTTTATTCACCTCTTATTCTGTAAGACAGCCTCCTTACCCCTGCCAAACACCCTGTAGCTCAACTCACGATAACTACCTATTTATCATGGTTTCGGGAGTCTTAATATTTCTTAATGTTGGGGAACAACTATCAAACTTGTAAAAGCAAGATCCTGTGACACGAGGTCTAGGCAGATCCAAATTTTACGTCGTGGCTGTATGATCTAATCTGCAAACAGAAGAACTGCGGGAATCCCAAGCATTACTAATAATACAAGCAGTGCTTCAGCACTGTCAAGTGCTAGCTCAGTCCGTACCACATTTTTTCTTCACTATGTCTCCGTGAGAAAATAAAAATGTCCTCTTAAAAACCAAAACAAAATAAAAAGAGAGAAAGTTTAAATTAAAAATAAATTTAAAAAAAAAATAAAAAAATCGACTCTCAATCCTAGATCAGGTAAGATTGAACCACCTATGCTATCAAAAAGAAACTTGTTCTTTTTCCCCCTGCACAGCAGAGATCAGATTGCACACTGACTTGGGTCAGACTTTAAATTTAGTTACCACCATGCTATACTGTTGGTAAGCCCTTTCCTGGTTGGAGGATTAGCTGAGAGCAGAACTCAGCTGCATGTTTACTGAGAGCTGCTAGGAATAAAAGAAAAAAAATCCAAGCTATTTTAGTACAGTTTAAGGTTAGTGTTAATGTTTGGACTCTGATTAAAAAAAAGGCAACTGTAAAACAAAGACCTTTATCTAGTTTCTTTAGTGCCTCTTGTACACCAGAACTGCTCCAGAAAAGCCACAGTCATTCTAGGCACTAACGGACCCACCAGTTTAAGGCACCCAGTCAGGACTAGGACAAAGCTTTTAGGGAGACTGTTGTTTTCAGATCGATCAGTGGTAGCGTTGATAAAGGAAAACTAACTAGTACGAAAGTCATTACATAAAAAATGAAAAACAGAAGCCAATTATCACACCTACTATGCTTCCCCTTTACCTACTTGACACTGCAAGGGACTGGAAAGGAAGCACTCAATGGAAATGGGAGGATGGTCATAAACAGGTTGGGGCAAAGGTGCAAGACAGCAACTCACCAAAGCAGGTGATAACAACATTCTCCATGGGTAACTCTGGTAACAGGGCCAGGAACAGCAAACTCTCAAATCTAGTTCTTGTCCCCTCAGTTACAGTGAATTAATTGTTAGCATAGTCCCACCAACTCAGGGATGCACAAATGTTAGCACAGCACATGGGAAAGGACAAGAACAAGAAGCAGAGATGTGCTTAATTATTTTAACAGAAAGATGAAATGATCAAATAGTAACTAGTCTTTATTGATTTGTTCAAAACTGAAATGCTCTACTCCACAACCCTTGTGACATGCCTCGAATGGGCAAACAGAAAACCGAGCATCAGTTTGGTTATCTGTCCCCAAAAAATTATTTAGAAGAGTAACATCTACTCACCAACAACATTTTTACTGGCAGCAGGTAGATCAAAATCATTCTTTTGTTCTTCTGGCTTGAGCGGTGACAGTGCTCAAAGGCAAATGACAGATACTCTTCAGCTGCAGACACAAATAAAAGTGCTAGTAACATCAGTCAACAACAAAAATGGATTAAAACTGTAACCC